CACTGGCCGATTAATGTCGACTAAAAAAACTTGATTATTGTTATCTATTACTGGCAACTCAAAGAGATTTCTATGATTTAATGTAGCGTCGTAACTCTTCACTGCCCACCAACGTGAAATCGTTGGCCACTTTTGGACCCTCGTGAAACTCGTCCACGCGAAGCGAAGCGCGCGCGGAGAGAGCAAGGGATTACAAATATCTGTTCCGGGGCCCTGTTTCTCGAGCGAGGTGCTCCGTCCTTTGATTGAGAGATACCTCGCATTAGCGAGCGTGATAAGTTGCGCGTCCAGTCGCCGTAAAGCGCATCCTCCTCGCTCGGCGCTGCGCCGAGGCGAGCGAGACCGGACGGCGAGCTGGGAACCGCGCGGCTGCGAAAGAAAATCTTATGAATGAGCGGGTTCCCCATTCACTTTTAACCGGAGAACAGCCGTAACGAGCAGCACACGGCGTTGCCGAAGCCGCGATGCTCGGGCGAGCAACACGCGGTTATCCACGCGTAATATATTGTACGATATCGCGGAAGGGGGGGGAGCAAAAATTGTACGATGTAACTTGATAGAGCAGCAATAGTGCACGGAGAGAATTTTCTCTCAAAATTTACCCTGAAAATCGTGTAATCGAGGGACAACATGGCATCTTGAACAACTTTATAAGCATAAGTTTTAGTCGACCTTAACTGGCGCGTGTTTAATAAAATAAAATAAAATACAGTGCGACGTTTCGATCAAGGGTTTAGGTTCTTCTCAAGCACGTTCTAAAAGGAACAAACCGCTCTGGGAAAAAGAAGACAGCAATTTCGGGGCCCACAATTAGTAATCGAATTATTTGGATTGTTCGTAACGCTACTCTGGGAAAAATCTCGACCGTTTTCTTTTGTAGTTAAGGAACTTAACATTTCGGTTAGTGCCTCTTAAGTGAAAATTATCTTTGCGTTACTGAATATCGACAGAACTAACTGGGAGAATTGATTAGTGTTACTTTAAAATGTTGGATATAGATAGAATAGCTATGATTTGCGATTTTTAGTTACGCGGGGTAAAATTTGTAAAAGATTAGAGTTACGAACAATCCAAATAATTCGATTACTAATTGTGGGCCCCAAAATGGGTTGTAACTGACTTTTTTTCCCCCAGAGTAGGCATTTTTGGGCACGAGTTCGGACATTAAGCCTTGCATTATAAAGATAAAATAAGATAAAACAAAATAAATAAGAACGCCAGTATTTTCTTGACTATACCTGGCATTTTTAATAATACGGAAAATTTATTGCGAAAAATATTACCTCAGCCAGGGTTTGAACCTGGACCTCCCTACGCTCTAGGCGGGCGTCTCACCCATGCGACCACCGAGGCATATAATAAGATAAATAAGATTATAAGATAAAGCAATGCCCACCAGGCATTAGTGGGCAGTGGTGTACATGATTTTGGTTTACCCCTCGGTCGTATCTCGATTTTACACAATTTCCGGTGTTTCTGTTTAAACGCTTCTGGTCCTAAATTGCGTAAAGTCGAGATAGAAACTTGCGAAAGAGACGAGTCGAAATGTTGCACAAATCTGTCTTTCGTTAAAACCGCGTCTGCGTGTACCGCACGACGTACGAAGCGTCTTTCTCTCTCTCTTGCGCAAACAGTCGTAAAAATGATGCCAACGTGCAAGGTGCGATATCCAGCGTGCGCGAGATCGATAAGGATCGAGCGAAAGTTCAATGCCGTTCAATAGTAATCGCGACACGCGGGCATCGCCGTCGCTTATTATGCGCCACGCCTGCGATTATTACTTATTGTCGGATGCGAGCGCCTCGTTGCGCGTATTGCACAGTTTGAGCGGCTGACTATCTCACGCGACAAAACGCTTTGTCCCCGTCCACTTATCTCGATCGTCTTCGCTCGCAGGAGTGTACGCCTCCAGCGAGTAATTGCGTCGGCAATTCAATCGCCGCGAAATTATCGCGCCATTACTCGCGCGAGCCGTCCCGCGGGCGAGCGCGCGCTCGTCAACCCGCGGATCTAACTCGCGGTATCGCGTCGATCTGGCCCGGCGACTTTTCCAAATTCCGCCGGATTTGTCCCCCCTCCCCCCTTTAATACGCGTTTTGCAATTAACGCATAATCGGTGCAATTATATATTGTACGACATAATACAATGAGAAAAGTTTCCGTCGGATAAACCAATCAAGTAGTATTTCCGGTGGTTAATTTTTCCGATTACGTTTTCCGATTAAATTATAGACACGTCCGACGAAAGTGCAGTTACCGATTAAATTTGATTGAAAAATCAATCATATTTCTCATCGGATATAAATACAATTTAATCGGACATATCCGTTTGTTTTTACGCAATTGGATTATCTGATTATATTTAATTGGACATTTTTCTCATTGACCCTCTTCGATATTAAAAACAATTCGAACGAGGAGATATTGGGGCAATGAGAGCCGATAACAGGTGGTATCAGATAATTAAAGTAAAGGAATCAAACGAAGTGAAAATAAAAAAAACACTTAAAAATATATTATAAAGTCTATACGTTTCGGTCAGTGAATATGATCCTCTTCAGTAGACAATATAAAATTACATTCGCAAACACAATTATAGGGAATTAATTGTAAAGCGCATAGTCGATAAAAAAAAGGTTTATTTCGCGGGAGAAATTGATTTCTTTGAAAACGTCATTAGATGTCGGAGCTATGCACCGTCAACAAACGACTCGATCTACTTCACTTCCGCGGTTGTATCACGTACAATTATTTACCGTAAAGAAAGTCACGCGATTTGTAATTCTGATTACACTAACGACCGCTAATTAAGTTACCGCGGTGCAACATTTCCTTACAATGGTTAGAACAATGCAGCTTTCTATGTAAAAGTGATTTTAAGGAGCGATTAAGTAAGCGCAATACGAGGAACGCGCCGTGGGAATGGTATAAAATTTTCGATTACTTATAGTTAATCATTGTCCACCCGTTGCGAATAATTAGTTACATTACCGTATCGCAACCACAATTACTCATAATTGATTAAATGATTGCGGAGCAGAGTCTCCTCGCGCGATCGCTCGAACAATGAAACTTTCTCTGGAAAAGCAACTCTAACGGGTGATTAAGTAGCCAAGAGTAGGATGGTATAATGGCATAAAATTGTATAAAGCAAGACGTTAATTAATTATTGCCTATTAGGGCTCTATACTATACCAGGATCAATACGTTGTATTACATGATTCTACGTCATAATCCGCGAACACTATGCACCATTATTTAAATATAATCATATTATACATATAAATTATACGTGCATATAATTATTTTACACGCGCGTGTGCGTGTGATGATAATAAATGAATATAATTTTACGATGATTCCGTATGTATAATTGCAATGCACACCAGGGAATTTATCTCGCGCGTACTTCGTTGCGCGAGATTATCTACTCGCGTGATTATCATCTCGAATATCCATTTCAAGTCAAAGTCTAACATTAACATATCGCGTGCCATGTTTCCTTATCAGTGTCGTCGGATAAGGGAACTCGCCAATGAGTCATCTTTGCTATGCAACAGATGCATCAGTTATTTATGTCCTGCTGCATTGCTGGCAGTCGAGATGCTCCATTTTCCCATTTAAATGGCCTAACCACCTAATTACAGGGTGTGTCGCGAGGAATTTTATGCAGTTCTAGCAGCGATGATATTTTATACATCTATAGTCGACCCTTCTGCCAAGATGCGCGTGTATGATTTTATTTTATTACATACATACATACACGAAGAGAATTTTTCCCATCAAAATTATTCTGAAAATGTAATCGTGGGACAAGATGGCATTTTCAAGAACTTTATGAGAATTTTCTGAAATGTTACCATACATTTTTAGTAAAATTACTAGAAAATCGTGCAAGCGTAGGACAACGACATTTTGAAGAACTTTATGAGAATTTTCTGAAATTTTACCATAAATTTTTAGTAAAATTACTAGAAAATTGTGTAAGCGTGGGACAAAATGGCATTTTGAAGAATTTTCTGAAATTTTACCATACATTTTTAGTAAAATTACTAGAAAATCGTGCAAGCGTGGAACAAGATGGCATTTTAAAGAACTTTATGAGATTTATCTGAAATTTTACTAGTAAAATGTATAGTAAAATTTCAGAAAATTCTCATAAAGTTCTTCAAAATGCCCACGATTACATGATTTTTGGAATAATTTTTAAGGGAAAATTCTCTCCGTGTACAGCGTCACGGGGAGGCGAGATATAAATCGGTCTTCAGAGGTTTCAAAATTTACGTATGACGCAAAACAAGAATCCAACTGGAAAATACCCAAAGTTTAAGGACCAATCTAAGTCAAAAGTCCTTTCACTCAGATAGCCAGGATTTAATTCGTGTTTTCTTCATTTTAACTCTTTCTTTTAAATAACAATAATAATATAACTATTAATATACATATAATACATAAATTACAGATACTTCAATTAGAATAAATAAGAATTGAAATATGAACTGTACAACTACAATTGCCATCGAAAAGACACCATATTCAGCCTCGTATAATGAATCTTTTATCGCAGAGAGAAAACGCCTACAGAATACTCGCCGATCGCAAATCCACCTGCTTATTAATTCAACTCGAGCGTTTCGCCTTCGACGTCAGTCGAGATGACGTACCTCGATTTCCTTCGATCGTTCAATACCTACCAATATCTGTCGCGTTCCCGATATACCGGGCATTGTAAAAGCCCCCCGCGCGGTGCTGCGCCGCGGCCGACATGTACGCGGTCTAATTTACAAGAGCGACGCGCGCAACGAGGATAATTCAAAGAGAGTACTTACGCCTCGCGAGCTCCCGGTGAGGAGGAAGAGGGGGAGGAAGATGGTCCTTCCCAAAATCACCACCACCGGCGCGAATCACCACAAGCGCGGCGAGTCCCGATATCGCGCGCGCGCGCGCCCGCGCGCGCCGATCAGCTCTTACACGGCAGCGCGGCGGATCCTTCGCTCATCGAGCGGAAAGCCGAGTGATTGCCGACGCCGGTCTGGATGATCTCCCGGCGACATACGCAGCGATGCTCGGGCGCGCTCTCGGCGCCGGGGAATGCGTCGCTCGAGGGAGGAGAGAGAACGAGGGTGGAAGGTATCGGGAAATCGGCGGGCGGTTACGGAGCCATGCAGGCGGGAAGGTGGTCGTCCTCGCCTTCCCTCGTCGGTTCGTCTCGTCGAACTGCTGTCGCTGTCGTCGTCGTCGTCGTCGTCGTCGAGCGATTCGAAGCGCAGTGCCGTTACGGTACGTCTCGTGGGGTACGCGCGAACCCCATGCTCGCGCTGCGTCGCGTCCCAATCAGAGACTGAGGCGCCTAGAGACAGGCCGCCCGTATAAATGCGCCGCGCTGCGCGGTCGCAGCGCCCGCGGGTGGAAAGGGGAGAGTCGCTGCGCGGCGCGCCGCCAGGGGTCACTACGGGACTGGGGGAGGCGCGCGAGAGCGTCGATACGTAAACATAAACACCGCCGACGGTCCCGCGCCAGCTCCTTCGCGAGTCCTCGGCGCGGTACGCCGGCGAATGTTGTCCACTTTCCCCGATGATATCCGAATTACTCGTCTCTTCGCCAGCGGAAAGAATTTCTATAAATATAAACCACAAAAATTGACTTGAAATAGAAGTTTGCAGTAATTTTTATATCTTCGTCGAGACATTTGTTTTTGTAAAAATATCTACGAAACAGTACCACGAGTTACAATGTTCGAAAATCAAGAAATTATCGCAAGTAGTGTTTCATGAAAACGTACAATTTTGTAGAAATTTGTACAAGACTTTACTAGTTTTAGAAATTTGAGAAACAACAAAATCTGCTTGTAGAATATTACAAAAACTAACAAAAGTGTTTCAATTCTAGCATTTTCGTGTTGATTTTTAGAACACTTCGAATCTACGTAGAATTTCTTAGATTCTGGCAGTTATATTTTATAGTTTTTTAGAATTTTGTAGAATTATTTCCGGCAGAGTTGCGCTTTCGTAAAATCTGTACCGACTTGCGTGTCAAGTTGCGTTTAAACGACAATTTAAACACTTTATATTCTTTTTGGCGCAGATATGTTTCTCCCCCTCGCAATTTTCTAAATCCCTCATAATGACGATTATGTTCGTTTTGTTAAAAAAGACGCGGCTCGCTTCTGTCGCAGCGTTGATTACCGACTTTTTGTCCTCGCGTAACCGTCGATAAACGCGAACTTGTAGAATACCGCCGCGACAGTCTAATCGACCTCGGATAACAATGGTTTAAGTACATTTCTCATAAAATTACGTAAGTCTCTTATAATGTAATATTTACTTGTTTTGTACCTTGAAGCTTATTCTACAATGGACGCAAGACGCTACGCGGCAACGCAAGAAGTCGACCAATCGCGGTCAACCGTGAGAAAAATGATCGACTGTCATTGGCCGATTTCTCGCGTTGCGGCCTGGCGTCTTGCGTTTTGCGTCCATTGTAGAATAAGCTTAAATAATCTTCGCGCGAGATGTTCAGCAAATAACAATTGATCATTCCTGGTGAAAATTTTAAGTGAAGATGATGTTTATATTGATTTATGAAGAGTTTTATTGATGGTTACACCGTTTGGAAGTACGTTGCAAACACCTGGTTAATTCTTTACTGACAACATTTTACTAACACTTAGAAAACTGTAATGGACGTTTGACGTTTGTATCATTAAACGCAATTTGAACACTTGTAACCGCGAACATGTCATAAACCCCATGATTAAATTTATATCTCACAAACAATTCAATAAATGTTTTAAAACTCAAATAAAACATTGACTCAACGTTTAAACAAACTTCTTATAAACATATTATTTTCGCCAGGGATAGGCGACAAACAAGGTATACATTTTCGTTGTTTAACGTAAATGCGAGTGCAATTAACAAATCAATTATGACAATAACAATGACAAACAGCTAAAGAGCTAACTGAAAGTTGAAACTTCACGTGCAAAGTATATTTTAGTACAATACCAAAATCACTTTAATAGCGTGTGTGCCACGTAACCGCGAGAAACATTTTATACAGTACAAGTTCCGACGATACATGTACCTTAATATAATATTCTTCATATATAAAATATTCATAAATTGCTCCTTTCGCGCCTCTTGTGAAGTCTGCATAATTACATACGAGTTTCCTACTCGATCAGCAGGTGCGATCGCGTACGGGGAGGGAGATGTTTATGATGAATTGCTATGGAAACCCATGGTGTATAAAACTTTGTCAGGTCTCGCAAGCTTCAATGAAGTCACCGGCGCAGAGACAACGTGTCTATTAAGTCACGGGCTCTCGGGCTAAAATTTATTACGGCGATTAACTTTATTATAACAATTAGCAAGTTACCCGGACGGGAATATCGCGGTGGTGCGCGCGTACAATGAGCGGAATTACTCGCGGGAGGGACAAGAAAGAAAAAGGAATCCCGCCGGGTGGGAAAGCGCGCTCCGCTGAAAGCACCAAGTGCAGGAAATCCCTGTCGAAGCTAAAGCAGCAAGAGTACCTGATGGAGAAGAGCCTGGCCAACCTGATGGAGAAGATGAAACTGGAACCCGAAGTTCTACGACCCGTTTTGCATAATATGAGTGACATCTCGAAAAACAGGTAGCCAGCGAAAAACGAATCAGCCGATCTTAGATTGCGTTATGCATATCAAGTCCGCGCGAGGCATCGTTTCTGCCGACGGTTTTAACGTCGATGTGTCTTTTAAAGGCGGGCCTTTCTGGACAGCATGAGAAAACCGTTGGAGGAAATTACCGAGGAGCTGCAGTCGGCACAATCAGTCACGGATAGTCCCGAGCAGATCCAAAACTTGGGTGAATCACCGCATATCTCGTTTACTCTCGACTGATAACGCTCGGTTTTACTCAGCAGTTATTTTTCTATCTTATGTAAAATCTTTAAGTACATATTCTTTCTCATTAAACGCGCCGCGATTTCTATACGTGTAAACTTATTTTAAAGAATTAAAATTCTTTTAAGCAAGTTCAAAACCAAGCCGAGTGCGCACCTTACGATTAACGCGAGATCAGTTCAGCGTTTACACGAAATTAACTTTTATTTAGATACAAATGCGTACAAGCAACGACTCGTGAGATTGTCGCAGAAAATTCGGGACTTTCAGGAGTCCTGCCAGCTGCAGACTACAACTTTGTCGCAGGAGCAAACCGCTCTCGAATCTGAATTACGTGAATTTGAATCGAATTTGCATAAGTATGAGAATGCAACCGGTAGTATCGGCAAACCGACGTCCGCCGCGTCTTCTAAGGAAAATAAAAAGTGTTATGATTATAAGGAGATCGAGAGCTTCCACGAGTTAATTGCTAAAACAGGTATCGAACACATTTGCATTCGCCCGCATTGGCAATTAAAGCGGGCAGTGAAATATAATTTATGACAGTTGCGCGTTACTTTATAACACGTAATATATTTGTGTTAAATGTCGCCTAATGAAATGTTTATATTAATCCAATCAAGTAGCGGCATGAGTAATAAGCCATGCTCTATCCTCAATTGTATATTCTTAGCTTCACTTTGATACACACTTTATAAGACACTTTGCTCTATCGTGACTTGTAATTAAATACATTCCGTCAACTGCCATACAAAACGTGCATCTGCTTGAAACAAATCAGTACACGGTGCATTTAAATATTGTCAATACAATTACGTCGCAGGCCACACTGATAACTGGAGCGACGAGGATCACCTGTTGTTCCTGAAATTGCGGAACAAGTGCAGCAACATCCCTGCCCTGGTGGCTGCCATTCGAGTCAAGTGTCCGGATCTGACGGTGGAAACTATAGTGAATCACGAGGCATGGTACAAGGTTTATCTGAGCCTGCGTGAAAAGCAACGATCGAGCGTCAGAGAGTGGCGCAAACGAAAAGAAATGGAGAAGATGAAGATGAAGGATCGCGAGGATGAAAGCGGGGCCGAGACCTTGGAGGGAATTTCGCGCGAGAGAAGAGACTACAATGTCACGGAAGATCCTTCGACCTGCGCGATGGATAAATGCAATGGGAGACTAACGAAGATTGGCAATTCCGTTGATATCAATGGCCAGAAGAAGGAATTAATAAAGCGGTGGAAAAAGGAAAGAGAGAATAAACGTTTGATGGACGAGGAGCAATCGAGGCTTCTGATGGAATCGAAGCTTGCCGCGCAAGAGAAACGCAAGAGGGAAAGATTGGAAAGGCTTCGGCAAGTTTTGGCGGAGCATCGCGAGAGAAAATCGATGGAAGTTTCTTCCAACGCTTCGAAAGGCGATTTGAGAGCGGGACCGAAGTACAATCCGATGTTAATTAAGGCCTTTAGGTAGCGTCAGCAGTTTTCAAACTTACATATATGAAAGGACTAATGATATCCTAAATGATAAAATGAGAAAAGTATGAGATTTCCAGCTGATTTTTATCCGCAACGTATTTTATGACTGTAATAAATAAATCCTAATATTTTAACAATAAACTGAAATATGTAGCTCGTAGTATTGTCGTAGATGTTAGAGATAATTATAAAATTGTTTTCTAACAACACTGATAGGACGCAAGATGCAGAATATACAAGAAGGAAGAAGCACTTGATAGCGAGGCGGAGATTGGCTAAAAATCAGACGGTAAAAATCGTAAGATCACAAATCGTGCAAAGGCAAGATCACTCGACTTTGCTCAATTCGACTCAAGTATGGAGAGAAAAATGTAGAATGCACGATTCTAACGTGAGGGAGCCGAAAAAACTGCAATATATTAAAGACGTCCCGCGTTTGTACGTTCTTCTTTTTAAAGAAGAAACTTATTTTTTTACATGTCTAATTTACGTCTAAACCTTTTTTTCAGGTATGTCCAATGGAGAAACAAGGAATCGATGGAGATCAAAGACACTCTGACATTTTCTTGAGGTCAAAACGTCTTTTTCCTTTCGGCCAAAGTGCACTCGCAGCGAAGAAGGCAAAAGAAAACACGAAACATTGATATACGCTTAAGTTTATTTTCTTTACAAACGTACCTTTTTGTTTCCTTCAGACGATGAACATAATAAGTTATGAGTAAACGAGTGTTGAATTTATCCGAGATCGCCCTTTTACGCGTACTCGGCTTTACAATTATATACCAAAGTTCTCTCTCCGCGTTTGTCTCCGTTAATTTCACTTTATTTTCAGGAGCAAAAGTGGACGAAAGAAAACGAGCAGGGAAGATAATTACCGTCGTCGTCTCGGATAACTTCAACCCCCGACAGGTTTTTACTCAAATATATATAATATACTTTCTATCAATCTTTTTCTGTTTGTTAATTCGAGATATCTTTTCGTTTAGATTACCAAATACAAAAACACATAGGTGTGATACAATATATATAATATATATAATGCTATGATACAAAAGAGTGTCTCGTATCGCGCCGAATACGATAGCTCGGCGACAGTTCGACGACTCACCCGCGGTACTTTTAAATTCTTTTTTAATAATTATCACTATTATTAATTACTATATTTGTTTACATATTGCGGGATAATCTTACACGACGCGATACGGCGACACCTCTCACTCTTCTGTGAGAATACGCGCAAAGACCCTAAAATGTACTCTTTTTTTTTTTACCTCTTGCTTTTAGACAGCATTTATATTTATACTCTTGTTTTTATTTATTTATATATATATATATATATGTGTAGAAATATAATTATTTAGAATTTATAATGCATACTTAGGAGTTTGTTTTATTACAACGAACGATAAGTCATGTTTTAACATACGCTCGGGTTTATTCATGCTCTCTCGATTGACACACGCACACATACACGGCATTGCTTCCGCGATTTCCTTTTTATCACTAACCTCTGCCCCAAATTCAAAGAATAAATATATACATATGTGAACATTTGTACAGCGAAGCCTCCTTTTCATCCCCTGTAACGTATCACTAACATTTGTTTCCTTAGTCAACATGTGAAGCCTATGTGTACTGCGCTGTCTCTCGTCTCGGCAGACTAATTTTTACTCTAACAATGATAATCCCGCTGTCCTTTCGACCAACAGCGGCTTTTCGGATAAAAACTTCCTTTCTCGAATATGAAAGTCGACTAAACGATCATCGAGAAAAAATGTTTGCACACCTTTTTTTTCAATGAAACGCTCCGAAGAGATGTCTCACGAGAAAACTTCATAGTGAAAGATAATCGCGAACGTAAGTTGTAACCCTACAAGTTCGTTGAAATTGGAAATAAAAAAATCTCTAGTAAGTAAGCGAAATAAAATGTTTAAATTGATCTCATCGTGTTTACGGACAATGGCAAGAAAAGAACAGTCGGCGACAAAAACGAAAGCTTTTCTGAGAGGGTTTTGGAAAACGCATTAGTTATTGATAAATTTTATTAGAATCTTTACATTCGTGAATTATTTACAGATATAATTGCATATGTATATAGCTATCGTTACGGTTTCGAAAAGAAAGACTTCCTCGTATTTCTCGTGACAATACTGAAGAGGCTGACTTCGGAGAGAACTGCTGTACCAAAGCCGCGTGAGAGCATGTAGTTTCGTTTGTAGAAGTTTTTACCTTTTTGCTTCGTTTTCCGCGATAGAATTTGTCGATCAATTATAGAAATATGCGGTATAAAAACGGTATAAAAGAACCACTAGTCTTCAAGCGATGTCACGACGACGTGCAGAGAGTACGATTCAGAAATTGTTTCGACGTAGTTAGCAAGTCGACCAATATTTTCAATCATTTCCCCTTTTTCCTTTCGCGTGTAACACAGCTCGATTCAAAGTGCGATATTATTAAATTGTGAACCTGCGAGAAATATTCCTGCAGGCTTTACCGTCTCTTTCGACCTGTATTATGAAATTAAAAAATACTGAAGAATCTGATTTTCTCTCATGAAGCTCGCTCATATTTCCCAGACAGAAAACAATTAGACGAGTATCTAATTGATAAATTGTTCTTTCCTACTTATATTTGCACGCATTGGGAAATAAGTTCTCGCTTAGCTCTAGCATTGCACGCTTCGAGGACGGTACAAATTCGGAAACAAGACACCACGAGGTTGCGACTTGCTGGCAAAAAAGTCGTAATACGTGTGATAAACTAATGACATTTCAAATGTATTTTTAGATAATCACAGTATTCGCAATAGGAAAATTGTAATGACTTAATGTAGAAAAAATGTTATTACTTTTACAGCACAATGTAAAATTGTATACATTTTGTATACAATACGTACAAAATTGTATAATAACATTTTTTCGTAAAGATACTTATATTGACAACAATTGTTGCGAATATAATAGGTATTTTACACAACTTAATGCCCGACAAATCAATATCGCACCTGTCAGGAAAATCAGATACTACAATTATTTTGTGCATATATTATCGATCACGTTACAAAAAGAAAAACTAATCCCTCCGCAATCAAGCCTCTCGCGTCGAAGTCAAACTGATCCGCCGATTGATAAATAATAATAATAATGATGAGATATACATATATATCGAGGCAAGCGAATCAACTCATATAAAACTATTTGATACATTATAAAACTAATAAATTAATAATAATTTCTTGGAGAGGCCTCAAAGTAGAATACAAATTTTCGAAGTTTACTGACTACCAAAAGTTTTCATTACGATTTCGCAATCCCTTGTGACAAGAAAAACTAATGAAAAAAATGCGAATGGTTAAGAAGCGATAAAATCACATACGCAAATTTCCAGTACTCCGAAAGCGAGAAAATGATTTTACGACCAATGATTTTGTGCGAGATTCGCGCGCGTTGCGCAAAACAGCGCGCGACGGTTGCTACAATTACGTTTCGCGTTTTGCCTCCGCCCGGATCCGACAGTTCGTTCGTAAAAAACTGGTGTTCTGCAGTCTTTTATACGGTACTCAGCATCTCGAATTTCTATCAAAAACGAGACCGGTCATTCTTTTTGTTTTCTAAGAGAATTTAATACACTACATAACCGACTCTCACTAATATCTAAACGTCAGAAAACGCACGTAGTCCGAGTTTACGCTAAATGGCCAGATAGTCGACGACGTTCCCATACAGCAGTCTGTTAGCACATCCGACGGATAGAAAAATTTCTTTTCACAGACGGCATGATTATCACTTTACGGAAAGAAAATTAATTTCCGAAAATCAAATAATTTTATCTACAAAATTAAAACGATTATTTTATTCGATCTTTATATGCGCGTTAAATACTCGAAGAATTGATTCTGAGAATCAGAATAAAGATAAGAAAAACGGGACAAAGTTTTTTTCCCCCCGGGATAAAATTCCTACGCACGCTTCTACAGTCAACGCGTATCCTTAGTACGAATGAATTTATACGCGTTTTGCTGCCAGATTTCTTAACGTGATGTAGACGGGTGTACATCTGGTCCTCGATAAAGCGCGCGTTCAATCGCAAATCAAGAGAACACTTCTAGATTTTATGTTTATCAATAAAGTTATCAAATCCGCAAACACAATGCGAAAATTGGCGCAATAGTTCCTAATGATCGAATATAAATGCATCGCGTCGCTAATAATCGGCAAAACACCTGTTCGTGAAAACGCAAAAGAATATCTTCCCCGCAGGATAAGCTCGCACAAATCGCATCTGACAGAGCTGTTAAATTTAACAATTGTATGTAGAATCAATAGCTATAAATTAGCTTTCCGTGTTAATGAGAAAAATTGAGATAAAACTGAATGGATTCCCAACACTATGCGGGAAAAAGTTTCACAATTTTTTTCTGAAATTCGTTTCTTTCTTAGGAAATAAGGATGTTCGCAAAAAGATTAATATATCAAAATTTGTTCTTAAAATGCATTATAAAATCTTGATATAAATAAAGTGTAAACTTTGATATAAAGTTTAAATTTTCGAAAGAAGAAAAGTAAATGAGAAAATAATATGATAGACCTGCATTCTCTATACACTCATATTAGCATCCATTAAATTTTTTCTCAGAAAAATCTCGTTAATTACCGCGAAATGTATGCTAACGAACCGTCGTTAGCGAATTCCTCGAAGCGTTCAGCTACAAGAGAAAACGAAAACAATTTCAGCACAAGAACGGAAGTTCTTTCATCAGAACGGCCGTCGTCGTCTTCGTCTCCAAAGCCGGAAAGATACGAGGATGCTCCGAGAACTTAAATCATCACAATCACCCCTGATATTCGCGGCATCGTGGAGTCCCGATAGAAAAATACTAGGTACGTTTAAGTACCAGTTTGATTTAGCCGGGCAACGTAAGGACCATCAGTCTATTTCACGTTTGCATCCTGTCCCCATGTAAAGAACGCGACGATGTCTCATTTTTTTCTTCCCTCCTTTTTTATCGCCCTATTTGTAAACTATAAATGTATGAAACAGATTAATATTCGCCGCGACAGAAAGAAAGTCATACAATTCCTTTATGATGTTCGAAATCGCGGCTGTTTTTAAATCTGTTATTAACGTTTGGATTTCTAAATCAGGAAAAGGACATTTCTTCTGCTAATGTATACCGATTCGACAAATCAATGATATTCTTCCTGAGGCGCAGCAACGGCTATTATATACTGGCAATGGAAACGAAGACGATGGCGAAGGTTGCAATCCTAAAAGTTCTGTGGAATTTTTGTTTATCGCTTTTCAGACAACTAGATATTGCATTCTACAAATGATTTTTCAAGTATTCGAGTATCTCATTCGAGTATTAATATAAAATATTATTAAAATTTTCTTTTGCTTCTGAATTTCCAAAGGTGACTCAAATTTTAGAATCGCATCCTTCGAGTAGTTTGCATTACACTATGAATTCTGTCTCTGTCGTATTACGCCAATAGATCCCGCTTTTCACTTTCGTCGAGAGAATACGCCATACACACACACGCGCGCGCGCGCGCACACACACATACACACTATTGTTTATCTCTATAAGCTTGTATAAAAAAACGATACCTTTTGTCTGTTCTTATCTTTCCTTTTTTTTATCGTTTTCGTCGTTTCGTACACCAAGGACGAGTGAGTGCATGAAGCAAACTATATTGGGACAACATGAATTCTGAATAAATACTTAATATTACAACAAAATCTTAAGTATTCTTCGTAAATGTCACCGCTATATAGTTTGTAAGAAAATAAGATACTTTACTTGAAGATTTTTATGTACAGATATTACAAACAACGTTTCGTAATGCATAGGCAATGCGTCCTGCTACTCTATTATTATACATACTGCAGAGGAGGATCTATACAAATCCGCCCTCCATCGAAGTTCGATTCGTGTCGTCTGCGAAATTTTGTGGACCTTCGGTATTTGGTATCGTTCTTTAAAAGCGACTTAATTACCGCTTATGTCGATAATACTGACCTGATCTCAAAAATCTTCGGATATGCTTGGCAATTAAACGTGGGATTTTCTGCGATCTGTTAGCGTGTGCTTTCAGTATCACCAAATTTTTTGATTGAAAATAAATATTACATTAAATTTCTAAATCAAAGATTCTTTCAAGAATTCACGTATCTGCCATCAAAAATGAATATCTTGGAACATAATTAAATATGCGTCTTGTTTTATAAAATAATTGTAGATTGTTTAATTCCCTGAAAAGGACCACAACCCGCATGGTCGAAACGTCGGATTAAATGAAATAAGTAAACCATCTGCCAGCCTAAGTCGTCTAACAATTCTTTTTATCGTTGAACTTTCACTAGGCGACTCACATTCTAAAGTTGATAATTAAATATCTAATACAACCTATACGTAATAACTTTAGTAAGATAATAGTATGTGTGTTATTAGATAAATATTGACATTAGCATAAATTTCAAAATAATTTCGTTATGATAAATTCTTTATTCTACTACAAATAATCTAAAATAATTACTATTGAACCATCCAAATCCATTTTTCTATTAAATCTAGTGTTGCACACTGTCAAACATAACGCGGGAATTTATCCACCACTTTCCTCGCAAATTAAAAAATATTATTGCAAACATTAATATGAATGTTGTAGTAATCGTGACGAAAATATTTCAACAATATTTCTTGTGTATCGTATATTTGTTATAAATCCACGGAACAAGTGTATCCAAATTTTAATAAGTTAGCATTATCGAAATAAGCAGCGCCCACTTTGCTCAAGCACAGTCTGAAAAGAAACGAAGCAACGACAAATTAAACCGATATCGTTCAAACCGTATATAATTTTTGTGGCCTTTTCGCATCAATTTCATCGTCCGTAAAAAGAAGCTGATCAATCATCGTTATTATGTGACATTATGTACAGGTGAATTTTGTTCGAATGTAATTTATTGTACTTGATTCCTCGCGGAGAACTTGGTTCGTAATTTCTTCTCGGATCCTTCGCGGCCCCAAACGAGTCGTTTTTCGTCTTCCGCGTCATTTCGACAGAAGCGAGCGATCACCAGAAGTAATCCGCTTGTCAAAAATGATCGCGTTGAAGGCGCACCTCGCCGGGAAGGAAACGAAAGCTAATTTCGGGACGAACCACGTTCCCGAGCCGGTCGCACGAAATATTTAACGAGCCGATCTCGCTAACGGCATGGCGGATCGATAAACCTCACAGACGCCCGCCGTTTCGGCCAACAACACGCTAATCCTACCTCAACGTTCGAGCGTACTTAAAAATCTCTGGCTATCATTCCTATTAAAGATCTCTTTCTCTCGCTCACACGCATTCCCGCAATATAGGTCTCTACGCAATTGTCCGACGGAAGGGCCGATCTTGGCTGGACTTGACCGTCTTCAAAGTCGTAGCACAACTTGGAGGATTCCGGGGGACGAGAATTGTTTCAAATGACGAGGGAGAGGGACGATCGCGCCACAATAGCGTCCAAGTTTCGGCTACGCGAAGCAAGAATTGTTCCCAGCCGACCGATCACACGTGTATACCACCGCGAACACTTGCATATGTACACACAGGACGAGACGTACCACCGCACTCACACTAGGAAGTCAGGGTCACTGTAGTCCTCGCCGCTGTCGCTGGTGTCGGAGATTCTTCTCCTCTTCTTCTTCTTGTGCCTCCTCACCGACTTGTCCGTCTTGTGCGCGCGGTGCTTCCGGTGCGACTCCCTCGCGTCCGGATGGGTGTGTATCGTCAGCTTCGGCACCCGTGGCGTCGTCGCCGGTGCCGCGGCGACGGTCGTCGTCGTCGCCGCTGCCGCCATGATCGGCAGCGAGTTTACCGAATTATTCGGATACTCCATTGGAGCGGTCAGATTCGATTGCAGTGGTAACTGATACTGTTGCTGCTGCTGGCCAGCCGCGATAACCAGGGCGGCGGCGGCGTCTCCAATGACAGCGCCGTCGACTATCGTCCTGCCGTCAGCCTGGGGATGCGGCGGTATCCTCGCCGCTTGCGGATTCTCCGCGCCGTGCTTGCCACCACCGCTGGTATCGGCGGCGTCGTTGCCGCCATCGTCGTCCGGCTCCTCTGGATCGAACTTGAGCATCAGCTGCTTAAAGTCCAGATACTCCTTCACGAGCTTCTTCCTGCCGCTCGCGTCCAGCTCGATGATGTTCGTCACGCCTTCCCGCAGCCTCTGCAACGTAGCTTTGGGCTCAAAAAGTAGATTGTTTTTACGATTCACTGCCTTCTCGTAGACCTTGGCCGCTTCCGACGGTGAATATTGGCCGATCTTAGCGTCGGAAAAGCCATAAAGGTCCTTGAGATGTTGGCGAAGTGTTAATAGAAGCAAAAAGCCTTGACTGGCGGTAATATACTCCCTGAGCAAGGTAGTATCGCCTGGCAGCCTGGCCAGAAGAGCTTCTTCGTCCTCCTCATCGTCCTCTTCATCCTCGAGAGTCGACAACAATTGATCGGGTTTTGGCTGACCATCCGGCCCTATCACCGTTGTTTGTCCCGTTGGCTGCACCATCGGCTGTCCCATCGGCTGCGCCATCGGCTGCCCCATCGTATGCCTGGAATGCCCCGATTGCCCCGCGCTGTTCTCCTTAGGTAGCAAAGCCTCTTTGAAAGATTGCAGTAGATTCGTTCCAGACATAGAAATGATAATGTCGATGTGATGGATGATGAAGAGCGGCTCGTCCTGTACTTGATATGTAAAGTAGGCGAGATTGTCCGCCAGGTAAAGCATCTGCGACAGAGTGGTCTTGGCAGCCTCGTCGAAGTGCTTGAGGAAAGACAACACGATTGCCCGCCTCTGCTGCTTCGTGTTGCGCAGGATCGTGTAGAGGAAACCATTGAGCGCGCCCGGGAACTCGCCGTCCTTCGTTCGCATGCCCCTCACCGTGATGTTGTCCTGCAGGATCTTCTGCAGCCGGTAGCTCAACTTGATGCCAAACTGCGACTTCATGTGAATGAAGCCCGGATATTTCTTTTCGATATCCTGCAACTGCTTGTCCGCGCTGTGGCTCACAGCCTTCTCGCAGTCGGTGCTCATGCAGATCAGGTAGGGCACTATCTGGACGGGATGTACCAGGCCCTGCGCCAGGATCAGCTGAATGACTTTGAGGGCCGCGTGCCGCACGCTTATGTTGACGTGCAGGAAGGACTCGAGGATCTCCTTGATGTAGAGCTGAATAACTGTGCTCGCCATGCCTGACGACACGTCGCCCATTTCCTTCAAGTTCTCCTGCTTCGACAGCTTGGCCCATTCCAGATCCTGCTTGATCATTCTCTTCTCCTCCTCTTGCAGGTACACCTCGATGTTGTTAAGCACCTGGATTCTCATATGGACCAACGCGTATTCGGATGTGAGCAAATGATGGTAGAGCTCCTTCAGCTCCGGCAGCATCATAAACTCGTAATGTCGTATGCAGAGAGAACCGATAGCCGACAGCGTAAAGTGTCGGATATCGTCGTTATTCAAGTGAACGAAATAGCTGAGTGTCTCGAAGACCTGATCCTTGATGTTGTCCGCTAGGCCCTCTATCACCTCTGGATCCATGAAGTTAAAATGACGCAGCAACAGGCCGACCGTGAAGAGCGCTCGTCGGAAAAACGGTCTGTACCTTATTAACATAGGATTATTTGGGTCCTTCACGTAAAATGATTTGTACTCCGTCAAGTGTCCGTAGTATTTCTTGAAGCAGTCTCGTATCAGTTTATAGTTTCGTGTGACGTTATTGACTACAGAGCCCAGACACGAAAGACAGCTCGCGACCACCGATCTATCGTGCTGTAAGATTAGCTTGACCGAATCCTCTTCTAACTGTGCTAAAAAAGTCTCACTGGGGTGTTCCATCAGCGGCACAACTAACTCGAGTGTGTGCGCGACGCTACTGATAATCTGATAATCACCCTGTGTCTGACACTTCAAACTCAGATAAGGTTGTAGAGTGATCGCGTGATTGACCAACAGCCGTGGTCGAATCTTCGCGAACAGATAGAGCGTTGTCAGGCACGCGACCAGTCTCTGCGACGAGCCTTTCTTCTCCGACTTCTCCGAATCCAGATTTGTCTCCTCCAACCGTAACACGTTCTCGATCAGGCAGTCCACGATTTGCTTGCACGCCGTCAGCAAAGCCCGCGGCGGCTCCGTCTGCATTTTCGTGCTGTCATCCTTGTCCTCCTTCGGCTTGAACAAACTTACCAAGAGTTGCTCAAACCACTCGAGCCCCATATCCTTGCTGGCCGCTACAACGTCCGTGATGTTCATCACTTTCCTCAAGAGGGATTCCGAATCAAGAGTTGGACGTTCTCTCACTGGGGTAAACCACATGTTTTGGAATACCTCCATGACGAGCTTCCGAATGCCCTCTTCGTCGTTCACCCTCCTTATCATCTTCACGCATATTTCTGGGATTTTCGGGAAGTCTGGGCATTCCATGCAGATGTCCTTGAGGATTTTAATGACGCGCTTTCGGACGCTCACGCCAGTATCCAGAATTCTCGCCGACAGCATGTCATAGTATTTGTCAATCAACTCGGGCCTACTCAATACAAATTTTCCTACCAAGTCAACCGCTGCCTCCCGTACTGACGTCGAGTGATCGAGAAATGAATGCTTCACACCCATCTGCATGTCCACTCGCCCCAGCACGCTCGGATCAGCCTCTACGATCATCGTGAGACATTTCATTGCCTTGGTTCTAATGGCAATTGACGATTCCGTCAAAACGTGAAGAATTTGCTTTAGGTATCTATCAAAACTCTGCGAGAACGGTCTCTTGGACGCGAGATATTGCGAGATCAGTTCCGCAGAATTGTAGTCAATGTATGTCTGAAGGATGTCGGGTTTCGTTCCCGTGCTGCAAGGCCTTATTCTGCTGATAATGTACTTCTTCTTCTCCTCGATGATTCGGTAAGCCTCCGAATTCTTCTGCTCGTTATTATCGTTCTCGTCTGGATCTTGCTCGTCCAACTCGGACTCGGTATCCTGATCGCTGCTGTGATGCCGATTTTTCTTCTTCGTCCGTTTCTTGTGCATCTTCTTGCTCGGGCTGTTTTTCAATTGGCCCACCCGCGACTTCTCCATCGCGCAATCCCGATACCATTGGGCCAGATAAAAGTGACGCGCGTATACGAGAGCCGGGTCCTTCGTCCCGTTGACGGCCAGATAGTCCAGAAGTACTTTCTGCAGAAACACAGTCCTTTCTTCATCCTCGCTCAGTCCTACGATTTCTTTATCCTTTATCTGATCGTAGTCAGAGTCCTTTTGCTGCTCGAGCTTGATGTCCCGAATAATTTGGTCGATGGTCGACAACTTGCACTGCGAATTAACCGCGTCCTTGCGCAATCTGGCCGCTACCACGCCGAGATAATCGATGGAAGCTACTCGAAGCGACATATCGGAGCTCTTATTAGAAAAATGTCCCACCAACAGATTTCCAAGAAGACTCAACAGCAATTCGGCAGCGGGCCACTCGGGTTTATTCACCGTTGCCAACAAGTCTTGTACGAAATTCTCGAACAACGGCCTGTAATCGATCTCCTCGCCCTTGCTGCCGCATTTGTTGAGGAATACCGTTAAAAAATTGCCGGCGATCCTGGTGGCGGTCTCGTATCTATTGATAATAAAGACGTCGGCGTCCACGTGACTCGGTTTCTTCTCCTCGTCTTCCTTCGATTTGGAGTCGGACAAAACCACCACGCACTGGATAAGCTGCAGGACCAGCGCGGTCAACATCTGTATGTAATCCTCGGAGTTGAGCCTGTACGTACGTAAACTCCTCTTGCTGCTGGGTAGTCTCGCAATTGACGCCAGGATGTCGTCCAGTAGTAGTCTCCTGTGCTTCTCGTACTTGGTAAATATTACGGTGACGAGCTTCAACGCGCTCAACTGGAGATCGCTCACTGATTCGACGAAAAACGGTGCGACGCCCAGCGACGACGCGTGCAGAACGCTCGTGTCCGTTAGAACCTGAATGTTCAACAGCTCAGCCAACAGACCCACCAGCTCGTGCATCTTGTTGTAGACCTGCAGAATACTCTTCTCCCGCACCTCCTTCGTATGCCCGCGTTTCTTGCGTCCGCTAGAATTAAAATTGTCAGTCTTGTTCTTTGTGTCTATCTTGTATACGGGATCGAAGGAGGGATAAATGGTGTTCTGCAGCTGGAACTTCATGAAAAGGACTATTCGGTCGATCACGTCCTCCAGATAAACCGTCTTGGGCATATTGCTAGAGGTCATAATGTGCAACGCGATCAACGACGCATCCACGGCGCGCTGTACCCGCTCCATCGCCAGCTGCATCCACAATCGTCCTTCGTCGACGTCGTCGTCCGGGTCCACGAGCGGCGACACCCTCGCGCCGTCACGTATGTTCTTCTCCAGGATGTTCAACAGCCTCACCAATTTATCCGTGGGTATCGATTCCATGGCGCCCAACGTTTTCAGTTTGGCCGCTTCCGTGCACAGATCGTGCAACTGATACTTGGGGATGAGCATCTCCGGAAGCACCTCACCATCGTCCTCCAGATCGGCGTTCGCCGTGATATCCTCCGTGTTCTCGAAAATCGTCTCTATGGTAGAGTTGAATCGCTGGTACGTATTGGTCTCCATCAATTCCTCCACGCTCAGCTTGGCTAATACAGGCACTAACTTCTTCTCGATCTTGCGTATTTTTGGTTTCGTGGGCGAGAACGATGCATCCCGTTTGTCATCCTCCTCGTCGTCGTCCTCCGTTATCTTTTTTCGCCTGCGGCCCTTGTCCTCGCTTTTCCGCCGCTCCGCTTTCTCTTTCTCCCGCTGCACCTGCCGCTCTTTCGCGCGAGCTTTAAAGTACTTGTTATTCTTGCCGATCTCCTCCTCGCTCTCGGAGTCGGTTTTCGTCGCGTCGTCGCGATTGGAAATGCCCATTTTCGCCGCGCGACTCGGCGACTTCTCCGCAAACGCCGCCAAACTCTTCTGCATAAGCGCCTGATCAGTCAACGATAATCTGTTTAACATAACAATGGGCTCTTTCAGCTTATCTGTCCCAAATTTTATACTCTTCTCGGAGTTGTTGTTCTGTTGATGTTGCACGTTGGACGCCATGCTGGCCGCAGCCGGATCTAAAACATTAACTATGTCGGTGGCGTGTATATTTGGATAGGTCGTGGCCTGAGAAGTCGGTAGTAAGTGCTGTATCGCATGATCGACGCTTTGCTTCGTGTCAATGTTCTCTATCGGCAGATCAATGTCGGAGAGACTCGCTACCGGGTCGAGAAGGAACTGCTGATTCTCCTGTACCGCGTTATCGATGTCTAACGCCTGACCACTGCCTAACGCGTGATGGACCTGCTGATTCATCATGGAATCGTAAAGGTTCTGCTGCATACCTATGGCCGGATGTTGTTGCAGAGGCACATTGCGCATCGGGGATGCCATGTGCATATTGTGCGGCGGCATACCAGCCATATTATGCTGAGGTGTCATATTGGTGAGAGACGCCAGCGATGCATTGGGGGAGTTCATATGCGCCGGCGAGTACATGTTCGGTTGAAGATTCACGTTCGACAGGGGATTCATACAGTTCGCGTCCTCCTGCATGTGCTGGGACGCCGTCAACGTTCTCGTTTGCTCGGTCATAACGTTACCTCTGGGCGACGAAGAAGGCACGGCGAAGGGGGACATCTGCGAGATGTCCGCGTGATTCTGCGGTGGGATCGGCATCCGCGTGTGCTGCGTGTGAACGATGCCACCGGGCACCAGCGGCGGAAGTACGGATCTGCTTGCCGCGGTCTGCGCCGGACTACCTTGGGGCGTCTGCCTGGAGCCCGAGGAGCTCGAGTAGGACGGCGAGAAACGACCATAGCTCGCCGGCGATTGATTCGCGTGCAACATGGGCGCACCTTGCGCGCCCCAGTTCCTCGGGGAATTGTGCTGGGTGCCTCTGAATACGTCAGGGTTCAACTGCAGGATCGCCTTGAGCAACTCGGGCGTGTTCTGCTCGTTTTCCAGCGACTGCTCGGCACTCGGATAATTGTCCTTGAGTTCGATGTGTTCCGACGACGTGTGCGAAAGCGACGTTATCAGCTGCGGCACGAGATTCTCATCGCGAAGACTCAGCAGTATCGTGGCCTCTTCCGCTACTCGTGGGTGAAACAGCAGAGACTTGTTAGTCAGGGTCTGCGGCAGCGGAGTCGGCAGGGGCATTTCAGGTAACAAGTCCGTCAGACTCGCGATACCAGCGAGGGTAGTTATTGGCACACTCGGTACAACCCCATTCATTTTGAGTTTGATTCGTTCTGGCATTACAGCCTGGACAAAAAAAAAAGAGAATCAAAATCAGTCGCAGTGTTCCTAAGCTTCCTCGCCACGTGGGACAATACAACGTGCTGCGCACCGCACAGGCATGCTACGAGTACTCGCTTACGATATGCAGTAAATGTGAGTCAACTGAACGTATCGGAATACACTGCCTCCACAAACGTCTAAATAAATCATTGTTAAAATTTCCTCACTACGCATTTCAAGGCATACTGACACAAATGTTTCACCGTTGATCAGAGCAGTCTCTAATCCTCTTTGAAGGGCACTAGCACTAAGGCAAATATCGGGAACGCGACAAGTCCCTTTTAAGTTCCCATGTTGCAAACGAAAGTCTCAACCAAATTTTGACGATGCCCGTGGATCCTCCAATAAACGGCCCATGTTTATCAGCACTTTGTTGTCCTGCAACAAGAGAATTTCACCTATGTAGTTACTATTCGAAACGCATCGTGACGTACGAAATGTCTTTAAAAGGTTTGACATTTAAAAAAATAAGAATAAGCGATGTATGAATGGCTAAAAGATACCTGCCAAGATACAAATGGCACGCACGAAACAATACACATATACGAAAACAAAAATAAGAACAACTAACCTTAAACTGTACTTTACGGTACACGTAATTTACATTGTTACAATCGAGCGTCCTCTCGTGTAAACGTAAACATTACATCTAATTTTCACAAATATTCCGGAACGTTTTGCGCACGTTTCACGAGAAGCGGAGTATCTCAACGACTCTCAGAAAAAAAAACCAGAGTGTACTCGCTACACAAAACTACAGCGTACAAAAGAGACACGTATATTTCGCGGCGAAGCAGATTCGTGTTAGATTTGCACAATTCACGCGTAACGTTATCGTGAAGCCGGACGCGGGACCACGAGTCACCACCCCGTTATTGTACTCGGGACACAAGCGTTGAGAAACGATCTCGTTGAAAAAAAAAACTCGCCGAGAGCTTCCGCGTAAAAAAAAACCCCCCGCCGCTACGTATACGCGTGAGAAACGAGCGGTCGTCGGTGCCGGAGATGCGACGCGATCAGCTGACGCACGAGAAGAAATCGGGAGATCCCCGCGACATTCGCCGACCCGAGGAGACCCCGGCCGTTTCCGCGTCGACACCAAGAACAGTCGTGTGTGGCACAGCGTTGTCCCTTTACCTTTTCCGAACGTACGTCTACCATCCAACGTCGTGGGACAAGCGTATCCTCGCAGGCGACCACGCGAACGGGTACAACAACACACAAGACGGCGGGGAGGGGGGTGGGGGCGCGGGGTAGAGGGGGAAAGCACGAGATCCTCTTGCGGACGATGAACGTCTGGAACTCTCCGGTGTGGGCAGGCGCCAGGGGGGAAAAACTCGCCCGAGGTCACTCGCGCGGAAGAGCGCCGTCGCGCGCGCCGTCGGGGACGCGGCGCGGAAAAGCGGGGACGCGGCCGCGGTCCGCGCGGCGCGACAGCTCGGCGCGGCGGCTCCGCTTACCCCGGGACTATTTACGTCGCCGTCCGCTCCGTTGGCGGCTACGCGGTTTTGGCGGGAGGCCGGGCGCCGTGGCGCGGCTCTCCGGCGTCGCTCGCGGCCGCCGGCGGTTTCTCGGGAATGTCGTGGCGAGCGGCGCGTCGGCTGGCCTGGTCGCGCGGCTCGCCCGCGGGTCAACACCGTCGCCCGGAGGATCCTCGGTCAATTGTCATCCGCGGGGGCCACCGCGGCTTGGCCTACTTGGTTGGACGCGTTTCCACGTCGGCCACGGCGGGCCGCGTTCACGACTCGCGAGCACGACACTGCCCTCACACGCGTTTCACGCGGCGCCGCACGAGCATCGCCTCGTCGCAGGCGCTGCGTCGCCCCGTAAACCGTATTTATACTGGGAATGCGAAGAAAACAGACACAAAGGCGTCCATTTTGCTCAGTGGCGAGCGAGCGGAAGTGGCGTAGTAGTGGGATATCGCTCGGGCCTAGACGCAAGTATCGTCAGCGGGGGCGCTGCGCGGCGTCGCCGCGCGCGACTTTAGGGCGCGTTCGCAACGCGGGCATTGCGAGTCGCGTCAGGGTGCTTTCACATGGAGCGTAAAGGTGCTATTACATGGAAGCGTCGTGCGTCGTGCGTCAAGCGTCAAACGCGCGCGCAGCACCTTTGCGCAGATGTCTAAACATGCAGATTTCAGTGCTGCGCGCGCGTTTGACGCTTGACGCACGACGCACCACGACACTTCCATGTAATAGCACCTTTAGATTTGCGTTTCTGCCACCTAGCCACCGCGGTAGTGGGGGATGGCGCGTGGTGGAAATTCGGCACGCACACAATCACGC